TATTATTATTATTATTATTATTATTATTATTATTATTATTATTATTATATTTGGGTTGAGCATCAATACTATTGTGCTGTCAGAATTAAAACTACTGCTCAGAAGGTACAAGACTAATTAAGGGGTTAAAGTATTGTTGCAACCTATTTCCAAAAGAACCAAAGAGCAAGAAATATTTGAAAAGCTTCACATGCAGTAATTAATCATACTTCAATAGTCCCTTTAGCTTTTCTTAAAATATAAAATAATCTGATCACAGCCACATCACACAGGCTGTTAATATGAGATGTATGTAATGCATGCAGACAAGGAACCATCCAAATATAAATTACAACTGTACAAATCCCACTCCCCTAGATTCTCAGTCCCTGTAATAATGTACTAATTGGTGCTACTCACCTGTGTTAAAATATAGTATCTCTGGGCTTCTTCTATGACCACGAGGCTGGCATTGATATAGTCATTCTCAGTGTTCTGCAGTTTTACACGACTATGATCATCTAAAATTCAAATAAAATTAAGAACTAATGATGCATCCATTTTGATGAATACTCTCTAACAGGCAAGTTTAGGTCTGGCAAGCAACCTGAAATAATTTCTGCAGTCCTACCCAAGCAGTAAGCTGTTAATATGTTGATAACTGCCTGTCTCATTCTCCCCTCAGTATTCCATCAGAATAATTTCAGGCCGCTATTACTAGCAGATGCTCAAAAAACTGGAATACCCTTTTTATTTGAAGAAAAAAAAAAGCCAAAGAAAATAACTCTCCCATACATGCCAAAAGATGCTGACAGCCATCCCTCAACAGCTGCATTTCCTTAATACAACAGCACCACAACTCACACCAGGCAACACTGTCCCATCACATCAAATCACTCATGGTTTCCTTTGTGTTCAGAATTCCAAGATTTTTGGTTAAGTTTCATAGGTTGAGGTAGAATCATAAAGAAAAGCTCACCCAGCTAAAAAATCCCGCCAAAATGTACTTGCAATAATTCAAACCAAGTATTGCTCAATTTAATTTTCCCTGTGAGTTGTCAAGTACTATACAATATAACAATAACAAAGAGGCACATGAAAAAAATGTGCATATTTAACAAATCTTTCAACTAAATGAAGCCTAATCTAATTAATGATTTCAGTCT